AGGGTCCCTCACGGTCATGCTGCCATACCTCTCTGCCTTCATCATCTCCCAGGGCCCCTCATGGTCAGTGGCTTCACCCACACCATCTCCCTGCTGTTGCTGGAGTGTGCCAGCCATTGTCCTTGCACTGGTGGGTTGTTCTGCCTGAGATACTTTTCTCCAGATTTCTTCTGGCTCATTCCTTTCATTCTAACCACTGTATCCAAAATTGTCACTTCCTCCCCACTTCCCTAGTCAATGTTTCTGCTTAGCACTTATCATTATTCGGTATGCAGTTCAGTTTATCTATTCATCTTTCATTTTACCTTCTGTTTCTCTTCCTACAGTGTAAGCTCTATTGAGGATATCTTGAACTGCTTTCTTTTCTCACTGTGGTCTCCCAATGTTTGGAGCAGTTCCTGACACACAATGGTCACTCAGCAAATATTTGCAGAGTGAAAGGGCAATATTGTCCTCATTGACACTTCCCGTGTGACTTTCTCAATCTGTTTCATGGAAGGCATGATAGAGTTCTTTAATTCTGTTGCCTTCTCTTAGATCATTTATTAATTTTTCAACTATAAGTTTTGGAGTGAGAATTATTTAAAAATATTAAAATAGCTTTTCTTTCAAATTCTAGGGGTTTTTTTTTGACTGCATGAATTCTATATTTTAAGCATTTCTATTATGAACCCAACAGGAAGTGTTTAAAATAAATGGTCAAAAATTTTGAATTGGGAGAAAAATGGCTGCTAAATATAAACTGATGCACATACTAATAACTTTGTACTCTAGTGAAAATATCATTACTATTTTGGCAAATTTGAACTATAAGCTGCTCAAAGGAATGATTTGTGATTTTATGATTTTCCATTTTGGTCAGTTTTGTGTTATAAAGATAGATTTAAGTCTAGTCTAGTTCCAGAGTAGCAAAGCATGAAAGAAGGTTTTGTTTATTGTTATGATTCTGACATTTTCTTTACAGGGTGATTTAGGACCTGTGGGACCCCAAGGGCCAGTAGGCATCCCCGGCACTGGCAGTCCAGGGGAACAGGTAATTTATGGTTTCTTCCTTTCCTTTGATGTAGAACATTCTGGTCCCTCCTCCCTTGGTGTCCAATGAAGGTCAGCACTGCAAACATTTATAGTATATTTGACAGTCAGATTGTAATGGAATATCAGACCATAAGTGAAAGGGAGAAAGTATAAGATAGTTTCATGAGATTTTAGTTTTAGAATTTTTAATGATTTAAAAGATTGCGTGCTTCTCTGTGCAGTGGCTATCAAAATTAAAATCCAATTGACAAGGTAAGAATTTGGGAGTAATATCTATATTTTTAAGTTCCTCCTAGAAGAGCAATCATAGTTTATTTACTTGATGTTTTACTTGTTTTTTCTCTTGAAGATTTGAGAATGATAAAAATTTTGTTTTCACTGTTAGTTGAGTAGTGTTTCCTACCTCAGAGCCACATTGCAGTGTAAAAATAGTCTTAAAATGAAAACAAGGACCCAAATCAGAGGTAAACAGCTATTAAAGGGATATTCTTCCTAAATAGAAACAAATTATAGATGGTGTTTATAAATGATATGTGGCCTTTCTTGGTCAAAAGAAAGAAATAGTCTCACAGAATGTTTCTCAATTCATGGCTGGGACTGCCTCCAAGGTCTTCTGATAACTTTCGGAAAGGCTGGAAAAATCAAAATCTAATGTGTTAAATCTAAATAATGTAAAGATAGCATACTAGCACCATCTACTCTTGTTGTTGTACCAAACACTTTTACCTACGCAGTCCCCTTTAGTCAAAACTTCAAGCAAATACAAATCTATTCTCCTGGTAAAAAATGGCAAGTCAATCTGATTAAAATCTATGGTTAGGATTTGAATTATTGTGCTGCTTAAGAAGTGAATAGTTCTTCCTTTATGTAGGATAATGAGAAAAGGAATTTAGAACATAGTATATTTCCAAATCTCACTGATGACACTCAGTGCTGAGTTTATTTCTAACCATCTGCTAATTTAGTGTTATTGTTATTTACTGCATATTTTAGCCAGCCCCAGCCACAGGAAAGTTGGGCGTTACTTCTTGTTCCATTTCCTTGCCCTTGGCAAAATTCTTAGAAAAATGGTTCAGGAGAACCAAAGTGCAGAAGCCAATACAAAAGTGCAGAAGAAGCCAATACAGATCTGAAAGTAAATATTTAGGAAATAATTACGACCGGCATATTGTCACTCTGCAGTGACGCTGATCTCACTGCTACTGGCATTCTCAGGCATGTCAGGGTGCTGCCTGGCTGAGCAGAGATCATATTCTGGGCCTGGAGTCTCTGTGCAGCACTTCTGCATTCTGGCAGAGAGTGAGGTTGGAAGGGCGTGGGTCTGTCCAGAGGCTGTGGATTCTGGGCCTCCCTCCCACTCGTAGTTTTCTGTTGCCTGTGATGCTGGTCCTTGATGGAGGTGGTTGCTGGGTGCCTTCAAAACAAAACAAAACAAAACAAAAAACAGACACAAGAAACAAAACCCAAAACAAAACAAACCCCCTAACCCAACCCAACCCAACCCAACCCAAC